TTAGTAGGATATTTGAATAAAATGCAATATAGTTTTTAATTACAATTGGTTTCATAGGGTCTTGCAAAAATAAAATAAATTATGTTTAATCATGAAGCATTTGGCAGAAAACTATTCTGTATTATCATCAATGGTCATCTAATCTTTTTAGGACATCACTCTATTACATAGCTTCTTTATTTTTATTATATGGAGTTTTCACATTAAGACAAAATATTTTCTAAGTAAAGCAACAAATAATTATAAAGAATTAGTACTTTATTATTCCTGTCATTTTTCACCTGTATCTGCAAGTGCTGTTCTCATTGTCTGTAACAAGGAAAGTATTTTCAGATCTCTTGTTTAAATAGATAGATATTTTTACTAAAGTCTTATGTTTGTCAGCATTTCTCAAACTGGGGATCTCGACCCAAAAGGGGGTAGCAATGGTATTGTGTGTGGGGGGGGGGTCACAGTATTGATACACTTACTTCTGCACTGCCTTCAGAGCTGGGCAGTCATAGAGTGGCGGCTGCTGGCCAGGAGCCCAGCTCTGAAGGCAGATCTACTGCCAGCAGCAGTGCGGAAGTAAGGGTGGCAGGGTGTGGGTGGGGGGAATCATCACTGCCTGAAAAAAAAGTTTGAGAACTCCTGGTTATGTGATTATACTCCTTCTCTAATAAAATGAAAGATGGAAATAGGTGATAGGATAGATTCTGACAAAATAGAAAAAGACAGACCTCCTGAGGTCCCTTCCATCCCTGATATTCTATGATCTGAGCATTTAAATTCAAAATCTTATGTAAGCCTCTCCTATCAATAATTTTGTGACAACCATCTTACTTCAGCTGACTAGCCTTATCACAACAAAGCATTCAAAGCAATGTTGATACATACAGCCTACAAGTAAACAAGCTTATTGTGACGGTACCTCCCATGGGGCTTTGTGGAAATATGCTTGGAATGTGTTTTGTGGAGGTGTGCTTGGAGTGTGTTTTGTGCTACATGTACCATGTGGCATATCACCATAAAGGTTATGATCTACTGAATGTATTAATCCTATTTGTATGCATGTATCATTTTTGTATTCGAAGTTATGAATTTATGAATGGCTGTGTACTGGCTTAATTCCTTAGTAGTGCATTTGGTCAGTTCCTGGAGAAAGGAATGTTGAAGTTAAGTACCTAATCAAGAAACACTTAAAGGACAATGGATCTTGGAATGCTCCAATCCACATAAAAAGTCTACTTGAGGATGTTCAAGATAGCATGTGAGCAATGGATGCTACCTGTAAAAACTGTGAGTCATGCATGGACATGTGACTTGCCCAGGTGACTCCTAAACTCCATCTTGGAGCTGGACTTTGCATAGGAGTGAGGAGGGGGTCTCCACCCACAAGAGAAAGTCTATTTAAACCCCTGGGAGACCCCTCCATTTTGTTTTTTAGCTGGCTAAAGAGAGAGCATCTTCACCCCCCAGGATACTTGGAAGAAACTGGAACAAAGGGCAGTGACTGCAAGGGGTGTGAGTGATTGCTGGACCCAGGCTAAAAGGAGATTAGTCTGTAAAAGGGAGTATTCTGGAACTGGTGAGGATCTTATCTGTATTCAGTTTGATTAGACATAGATTTGAGGATTTTATTTTATTTTGCTTGGTGACTTACTTTGTTCTGTCTGTTACTATTTGGAACCACTTAAATCCTACTTTCTGTATTTAATAAAATCACTTTTACTTATTAATTAACTCAGAGTATGTATTAATACCTGGGGGAGCAAACAACTGTACATATCTCTCTATCAGTGTTATAGAGGGCGAACAATTTATGAGTTTACCCTGTATAAGCTTTATATGGGGTAAAACGGATTTATTTGGGTTTAGACCCCATTGGGAGTTGGGCATCTGAGTGTTAAAGACAAGCACACTTCTGTTAGCTGCTTTCAGGTAAATCTGCAGCTTTGGGGCAAGTAATTCAGACCCTGGGTCTGTGTTGGAGCAGACGGCAGTGTCTGGCTCAGCAAGACAGGGTGCTGGGGCCCCGAGCTGGCAGGGAAGGCAGGGGTAGAAGTAGTCTGGGCACATCGGGTGGCAGCTCCCAGGGGGGGTTCTGTGATCCAACCCATCACAGTGGTGTAGTCGGCAGGATCTGTACACAGCTGATTGCTTTGAGGTACTGGTAGTGATTTTAAGTGAGTTTTAAGTGTGGTGGCTGGAGAACAGACAAAGTGGTTACTGGTTTGTTATTTTCTGTTTGCTTATTTCGGGTAAGGGATGTAGGGACAGAAAAGGAAGCAAAATAAATAAGATTAAAGATCAGAAGAAGCTAGAACTATACAAGTTGCAAATTGCCCAGAAAGTCTAAACACTGGGCTCTGGGAAAGTCTCTGTTAACTAAGAAGCCCTGCCTGAGCTGAGTGCATCTCAGTTTCAGTGAACTGCAGACGGGTGTGGCCCAACCTCTGTGTCTGTGCTGAAGCTGACTGGAGTGCCTAACTTAGCAAGACAGGAGTGGAGGGGTGCCTGTTCTGGCAGGAGGGGTTCTCTGTGGTATCCCAGCTCATCGAGTGATGGTCTCAAGGGAAGACAAATGGAAATTGATGTACAATTTGCCCTGGAAAAGGCTTCCCTGGAAAAAGAAAAGGCTTCCCACCAGCCTGGACTTAAGAGACAAAGCAATTAAGACCCAGAAGCATGAACTGGCTGTAATGGAGTGGAAGAGGTACACAAAGACATGTATCCTGGAGCTGGAAGTTGGGGTCCTGGTGACTACTGCAGTGGGAACAAACCCCAAGGACTCCCAATGGGGTCTAAACCCGCCATGGTCAGTGTCCAAGTCTCTGGCAGTAAGTTCAGGAGGAGGGTGTGACATTGCAGTCTATATAATTTTATAAAAATATGCTAATGAGTGAATATAATGTAACTGGAATATGCTTCATGCAAAAGGTCTCTTGTAAGGTATCATTACAAAGCTTATAATCTACTGAGTGTGATCATCCTATCTGTATAAATGTACCACTCTTGTATCTGAAACTAGAAATATGAAATATAACTCTGAGGGCCTATTGTAATTATGCAAAGTGTGGGCCATTAATGGTGCTTTGGAATCTTGATGACTCCCATTAACCAGGACAATTGTCTGCAGATGGGTGTGTTTTACCTGTAAGTCTTCCTGTATACGTATGTGCTGGCAAGAGGGCAATGAAGTCTTGCAGTGACATGTGATCATGCCACCTGAATTGGAATCCATCTTTAACCTGGTGTCTTTCCATTGAGAAGGAGGGGCTGGAAACCCAGAGGGAGACAAAGGATTCCCGCCTTATGCAAAAGATATATAAAGGGGTGGAACAGAACAAAGGGAGAGAGGAGCTATCATGAAGAATTCCCTAGCTACCACTAGAGCTAGAACAAGAGCTGTACCAGGGGAAAGAATTGTGCCCAGGCCTGGAAGGGGTCCAGTCTGAGGAAAAAACTTACTGAGGCATCTCGGAGGGTGAGCTTATCTGTATTCAGTTTGATTAGACATAGATTTGCACATTTTATTTTATTTTGCTTGGTGATTTACTTTGTTCTGTCTGTTACTATTTGGAACCACTTAAATCCTACTTTCTGTATTTAGTAAAATCACTTTTTACTTATTAATTGACCCAGAGTATGTATTAATACCTGGGGGAGCAAACAACTGTGCATATCTCTCTATCAGTGTTGTAGAGGGCGAACAATTTATGAGTTTACCCTGTATAAGCTTTATACAGGGTAAAATGGATTTATTTGGGTTTAGACCCCACGGGGAGTTGGGCAACTGAGTGTTAAAGACAAGCACACTTCTGTTAGCTGCTTTCAGGTAAATCTGTAGCTTTGGGGCAAGTAATTCAGACCCTGGGGCTGTGTTGGAGCAGACGGCAGTGTCTGGCTCAGCAAGACAGGGTGCTGGAGTCCTGAGCTGGCAGGGAAAGCAGGAGTAGAAGTAGTCTTGGCACATCAGGTGGCAGCTCCCAAGAGGGTTTCTGTGATCCAACCCATCACACTTATCTCACAGCCAGTAGGGAAAAACAGCTACTCCCAAAATCTTCTGTCTAGATACACATGCCTTGAATTTGTATCAGATTACCAGGTAATATTTTCTGTGACAAGTTGGTTGCAGTATGATGATGAAAAATCGTATATATCACTTTTTATTTCCAAAGCACTTTAAAAACTTTAATGAATTCACACAACATCCTATAGCCTTCTCCCCCTCACACGCTCCCCCCCACCCCCCCCCCCCCCCAACCCCCCCCCCCCCCCCACACACAGACCTTTTCTAACAAATTGGGATACAGATGGGTTAAGGGCAAATTTTCAAATGTAGATGCCTAAAGTGAGGCACCTAAATAAATACAGTCTGATCTTCAAAATGTTCTGAGCACCAATAACTCTCTCTGAAGTGAGTGGAAGATGCATGTGCTCTGCAATCTGAAAACCAGGCCACTTACTTAGGTGCCTAAATATAAAAATTAGGCAATACCATTCCCAACATATACAGTAAATGTTGCCTTTTTACTACAATAAACCATGTTTTTTAAACAAACACAAGGTCATATAATGCTATAAACAAACATACTTATATTACTCAAAATAAATTTATACAGCCAGGCTTTACCTGTGGATAGATATAACCATATTTATTGTTTTACAGTCTAGTATGTTTATATACAACCACTGATATAACTGGTATGATCTTGTACAGATTCCTTCTGTGAATAAACACCAAGCAATGCTAAAATAGTAAGTTGAAAACTTTACTTCAGTAGCTAAAGATAAAATTGCCGTTGTTTGAGTTGCAACTAATATTTAGGACTCAGTTGTGTAACTCCTACTCATGTTGGGGAGAACTCGCAAAGCTAAACATTCATCATTGTAAGGGTTATGCAATCATTAACTCTTAATAAAGACTACTATAATTATTCTTAAGTTATAGTATTATATTCTGGAATCAAAAGGTTATTTCCATCTAAGTTAATTGGCTTTGCTTGAGTCTGTAGTTGTCACCTGCAAGTTATCATTAGTGGCCCCAGTGACACGATCATAAGATGGAGGGAAAGAAATGGAAGATGCAGTTTGTGATCTAACTGGCTACGTTCCTTCTCAGATACATCTTTTTCTGAGATGCTACTGTCACAGGTTCTGTGTTGGTATGGAAAAGAGCCCTGTTTCGTAGAACACTGAATCAAATGGGACCGGAAGGCCCTTTGGATAATAATGGCGGAAAGCTCCTCTTGTCTTCTTCTAAGGGTAGTTGTGATTGGTTTATAAACAAGCTTGGATGGAATGGCAATCTTAAGCTTATTCTCCATCATTAGTTTGTCCATCTCCCCAGATTCTCCTAACACTCTTTTGATAAAAGCAAGCAAAATATCCCAGTAGTAGATCCTATCTCCACTAAAGAGAGGAAGATCCATTGCTATAAGCTGAATTTTGTTGGGTTTTGATACACGTAAGGGTTTTTCCAAAGCATCTGCAAAGTCTGAAAGTGCCGAATACTCAATAAACTGAGTCGCCTCAGAATCAAACTTCCCCCATATTTCATAAAACATATCAAAGTCATCTTCACATAAAGGCTCTGTACTTTCCTCAGTAGCAACATTCAAGTTCTCCAAAATAATAGCTATATACATGTTTACAACAATAAGAAATGATATGACATAACTTACAAAATATATAATTGCTACAGAGCTATTTACACAAGAAGTATTGTCTCTAGGTTGTATAATTAAATTTGGAGCACAAGAGTCAGATCTTGTCCCTAAGAAAGGGTTAAGAAGGCCATCCCAGCCGGCTGACGTTGTGATCTGGAAGAGACAGAGCATGCTGCCACCGAAGGTTTGGAAGTTGAAAATGTTATCCATCCCACCATCCCAATTAGCGCAGGCAAAGTGAGCCATGCCCAAAATAGCATAAATATACATGATCAGAAAAAGCAGGAGACCAATACTGAACAGAGCAGGAAGGGACATCAATAATGTAAAAAGGAGAGTTCTAATTCCTTGGGCTTGCCGTATTAGTCTCAGGATTCGGATAATCTGCACCAAGCGAATGATTCTCAACAATGACGGAGACTTTAAAACACCAGCAACTCCAACACCTTTAAAATGAAAGAAAAAGTAGTATTTTATTGTTAAATGTTCAATGTTAAATTATCAAATCAAGAAAACTAGATATACATATGTACGTTTGATTATCTTTTATGAAATAGCCAGATGAGGTCAGAAAATGTTTAAGGCCTATTTCTGTGTTACAAGGGAGAATGATAATGTTCTGTCAATGCCAACAAAACTGCTAGTGTCCTTGGCACTTAAAGGGAAAGTTACACTGTTAAAAAGGTTATATTATACCTGCAAAAGTTTAGAAACAAGCAAACAAACAAAAGACCCTTTAAATGTTACAAAATTAAAGTTCTTAGATAAGTAACATGCATC